CGAAAGGCGGGTGGACTAGATTGCGGAACGGCACGCTAGGACACAGTACAAGTTACTTTGTTCGTAAACTCTGACCCTTTAAGGCTTTGGCAGAAGAGACACCACCCGGAGACGCTGGATTATGGGTTATCCTGTAAGTAGACAGGAACGCCTGGAGTATCTCATCAGAAGTCTTCTTCCAACGAACTTTCAAGTGGGCTCGTTTGAATCTGTTGACAAAACTTTTTGTCCGATCGTCAGATTGACGATCGTAGGGTGGAGAATGGAGGTGCTGGATTTGGTGTTCGCAGCAAAAATCCTCAAATGTCGATGAGGTAAACTGGGAGCCATTATCCGGCAGGTCAAGTTGTCTGAAAATATGCCGTAGGAAGGGGATAGTGGCAGACGTGGTTGCTGGATTCAACGAAGCAATCTTGAGCCACTTTGAGGAGGCATAGATTACGGCTGAATTAGGGACTCCATCGAGTGGACCAGCAAAATGGATGTCCAAACGTGACCAAAATCTATTTTAGTGTTTGCCATGGTACTTTGGTTGAACAGCTGTCATTTTGGCAGCCTGTTGACAACGGGAACAACACCGAACGGGACCGTCGATGTCGTTGTCAACACCCGTCCGGTAGGCGAAGCTGCAAACGATTGACTTAATTCGACTGGTACCAGGATGAGCAACATAGAATTAGCGTAGCGCAGCAGTTCGAAGTTCAGGAGGTATCATCACCCAGTCTGAACAATGAGGCAGATATCAATCGCAGAGAGTAATGCTCGACGCAGGATGAGTTGATGAAGAGCATCAGTGGGAGCGGTGGTTGGCCAACTGATCCGGACATAGGTGAAAGCTTTGCGGATAATGGGATCCTGATTGGTAGCGCATCGGATTTTGGCTGCTGTTGCAAGTATGCCTCTTACGACGTCCGAAAGCTGACAGCGCGCATCGTCCTCAATTGACCTGGCAGCAATCATGGCGTCTTCGTTGGGTGTCAGCCTGGCCAAAGTCGACATTGCGGTGATAATGGATATCGAAATCGTAAACAATCATATTGGTTGCCAATCATTGAATTAGGCTGGCGGAATAGACTGGAATGCTCTTCTTCGAACGGAAAATTGATAGCAGTGATTTATGATCAGTCATCAGCGTGAAATGAAGATCATGCAGCAGCTCACGGAACTTCTTGACGACAAAGATTATGGTCAGTGCTTATTTCTCGATTTGGCCATAAAAATTAATGAATTTTGTATTGTGGGCCCGAAGGCCTTATCAGTACAAATTTAATGCCTGTGGTAGGAACAAATACAATGTGGATAATTACTGCACTGTGAGCAGCCACGTAAGCATATAAAGTGTTAAGTATGGTAGGCAGATAATTTCACAGCCTTCAACATATCGTCATTTAAAGATAATACTCGTCATTCTATGAAAAGTGTGGTGAACTAATGAGGGAGCACTGAACAAACTCCTATCATAAAAGTGGGGCAGAGTTCAGCGGACCCCCACTTTATAATTATAAAACGAAGGAGAAGATACTGCTTCTAGAAAAATTAAAGGTTGGTTGATAGGGTCTTTTGCGATGCAGTGAGACGGGACTCTGGTTGTTGATGAGAGGCTGCTGTTCACCGCCGTAATACCGTCCGACTGGCTATAGGATCAACCATCAGGGTGGTGAGACAGGAAGACCGCATCGCGTACAGCAGGGCTGAAAAGATAAGGGAGCAGTAGATGTCACGAGATCACTGGATGCTGGATGCCAGAAATGCGACCTTGTGGACTGCAGAGTCCACCGACAGACTGGCGAACACCGAAAAACTGGCCATGATAATCACAAGAGACTTCAAAAACCATCGTCAGGGTCGCAAAGAACAGAGTAAGGTTGTCCACTATTGAAAATGATAGTTGGAAAGAGTAATGGATGAAACATCGCTGCAAAGATTGACTGTGTTGAGGATATTTTAGGTATATATGGAAACTAATTTTATATAAAGCGAACCGCCTCAGATACCAGAAGGATCCTTTTCAAAGGTCAAATGTTGCGTATTTGGGAAGGAGACGGATAATAAGGACTTTCTATTTTCCTAAGTTAAATGTTTACGTAATTTGGTTTTGAAAACTCTTAATTTAGACAACAACCTAATTTCGAATAGAATATTATTCCAGAGGAAGCCGCGTTAGCGTACTACGCGAACACGCGCTTCACACGTGCTTGGTTGTCATTGGCTGGGATAATTACATAAATAATTACGTACGTAGTCAATAGGTGATTGGCTTATCGATTTTTGCATGCTCTCACGAGCGGCCGATGCGCATCTGCCGATCGCGAGTGCATGTAGATGTCACAATGGCGCCATTGTGACGTGGTGCAGTCTGCTGATAATACCTGCGAGCGAGCTCTCGTTACTCAGACTGCAAAAGAACTTTAAGAACACTTGCTGTGCGCGGATATCTTAAAGATTTACGTAAAATTGAGCAAGAAGCGAGGGGAATGACTAGATTGTCAGACTCTCTCGACTCTTTTTGCAATTATTCATCTGACGAATCTGACTGTAGCACAACTTCGTTGGAAGATGGTAGTACCTGGAGCTATTCGTCATCGGAAGAAGTAACAGAGCCCTCAACAAGCAACGTTACTGGGAATCCAGCGATGAAGCAGGAGGAGACTCTAAAAGTGCTTTGCAGTCTTGGGCAGTAGACTGCAACACCCTGATTAAATATCTGACGAAACCTCAAAATTTTGAAACGTGTGGCCACCGACCTACCAGGTGATGGAAGTACG